ATTAATATTTAAAAATAGCTGCCGGTCGATATTTAAGGATATGGGTTTACTGTTCCATGTAATTAAATTAATCATTAAAAATATAACCTACAATTTTTGTTTCAATTAAATAAGTTAATCTTAACAATAATATTAGGCTATTGCATTTTTTGATTTAAATAATTTAATCTTATCAGTTGAGGAAGAAAGAGTTGGTATTTCAATCTAATAAGGTGCCTATAAATAATATAATTATTCATCCAATTATATACATTAACATTGTCTGATCGCTTTATTTAATAATACATTTATTAATTTATCATAAAAGTATTGTTAATTAAAGATGCGTTTTTAAATGTTAAACAGGCATTATGTAAGAGCTAAATCTGCTTATTGCAGGTCTTTCTTTGGGCCTTAAATGTTATATAAATTATCAATTAGACATTTATTAACATGAAAAGACCATAATCAACTCTCGATGCCATCTGATTGCTCAGATTTTAAATAGATTAGAACGGTATGGTCATAAATTTTCAATATGTTAAATTTGCATTATCTATTTTTGAAATGTTATACTCATTATAGTTAATAGCGAGAACGACCAGCTCTTATCTAAATCTTACATAATTCCCCTTCAAATTTATGTCTATTGTTATTGTATTATTTTAATTTAGGACATAAAGAAATATATTTTGGTTCTCGCCTGGATGACGTGTTTTAATTTTTTTTTTTTAAAAAAACCTAACAAAACAGTCTTGTTAATTACTGCATGTAAATATTTTACCCGGGTTACACGAAGTAACTCTGTAATGGAAATTTCCTATCGGCGACCACACGTCTTTACTTTTAACACCAAACATTTTTCAAGAATTGAACAATTCCGTAAAATTGACGAATGTTTCAATGCTCTGAAATCATAAATTTGCTGTTCACTGAATTATTCAAGCCCAATTTTAAAGCATTTCTGTGCACACGAATGGAAATGAAACCGGAAAACATCCACACGGATAGTATAGGTACTACTGATAATTAGTACATCGATTTCTATCCACTTAAACGGATATTATACCCAAATATATAAAGTTGGACCAACTAGCTGAAATAATTTGAAAAATGGCTCAATTTCTGGATTTGCCGTTGGCGATTTGCAACATTTCGTTTGAGATGATGGAACCGACATAGATAGATTATGAATTAGGTCAGTCCATAGATAATACCGTATTATCTATGGTCAGTCATGTCAATACTAATTACTATCATCACTCAGTATTGATACGGATACCCAATTTTCGCAAAACGTTTTAGTTTTTACTAAATAATTTAGCATTATATAACAGTTGTCATACTAATTATTATAATTTGAATTCTTTTTTTTAGGAAAATATATTTAACACCTCGAGTATCACATATTTGTTGGCCAGTTAAACAATTGAATGAACCGACAAACCTAAGGCCTTAATTGGGCCTTGATTCGATATTTGTTTACATTGATTAAAATATACAAAAAAGGAAGCTGCTCAATGGGCTACATACCAATTTGAAGGAATAATATAAATATTCAAAAGTGAAGTAAAAACATAACAATTCTTTGAGTTAAATTGTAACTTTTAGGCCTAGGCCTTTATAAACATGACTAGGCCTACCATAGCCTATTAGTAACTGAGTAACCTACTTTTACTCTTTAGTCTTTAGAGAATAATTTTTTATTGGTCAATGTTATCTTCTGAGTAGAAAATAATATGTAAAAGCAGAATTCTAACAATAATGTAAGCAAGGAATGCTGAGAACAATGATAATGCAATGACAACCATCCAAAATCCTTAATAATTCACTAAAATTATATAATTCTTAATATTTTGTATTACATGGGCTATAAATATATGCTAAAAAGCTTTCTGCTACTGTACTTAAAATGTGGCGATCAATTGGTTTGTCATGGTAAACATCATTGAAAATGGAATAACATTGCCCTTTTTGGGGTGTTTGTTTTCGTTTTGATTGCTATAAAAACCAAATATTAAGTAATGTACAAGAGTAAAGATAAGTAATTTTAAAAATTCACAAACATATTTACTTGTAAACAAAATTTCTCTTCAAGATCTTAATTCCTTTTATATTTTATTTATGTCTTAATAATGGCCAAAATGGACAACTAGCTACTGCAGAATGTTCTTCAAAAGGGAACCCCTTTCCAGCTCTTGGGAGAAGACATATAAATATTTTCATTTTATTTATTTTTTAAAATCTTGTCCAATAGCTTCTGTTTTTAAAATAATACAATTATCAATATTGATGTCATGATTATTGGAAAATAATGCTTTTCGGAAAAAATAAATGTGGTTGCTATGGTAACAGCCCAAACTCCTTCATATTTTTCTCAAACTTACATAATCCATATCATTTAATATTACATGGGTTTCAAATATTTTAAACTGCTTACTTTAAAATGTGGTGATGACCTTTTGGGTTATGGTAGGTAGCGTTGAAAATGGTCAAAAATTGCATTTTTTCCATTTTGGTTGCTATGACAACCAAAATTGATAATATATGGCGGATTGGAAATAAGTGATTTTAAAAATTCACAAACTTTTTGACATATTCCCATAATTTCACATGTGTATCTCCATTCCTTCTTATTTTATTAATGTCCCAAAAACGCCCCAAAAATAGGCAATTGTGTGCCGCGGAAAATTGTTCAAAAATGAACATATATTCAGCTCTTGAGAGAAGGCATATATATATTTTTACTCTTTTTTTTTTTCGTTAATCATACTTGATAGCTACTGATTTTAAAATGCATAACAACCAGGTTCAAAACATGCACAAGACCATTTTTGATGAAAAAATTGACCAAAATCGCTCTGACAAAATGGAATTTTTGAGAAAACCTATGTATTTTGCAGTTACTGTGGAAATTGGTGTAATTATTACAAAAATGTGAAAATTGAAGCATAATTAGCCTTAAAGTTGTATTTCATGAATTTACATCTTCATTTTTAATAGGTTTGATATGAAATGAAATATGGCATCACAAAAAACACCAAAAATGGCTTTTTCAAAGTGTTGAAAAACCTTTCTTCCGCGAAGAGTCAAAAATCGCAACTTTGAGCCTCAATAAAAAAAAAAGTTTACATCCGATTTTGAATCTGTAAAAAGTTTTGTGAGAAGAATGATGAGATCTACTTGGAAAGCTAATAAAATCAAATGTATAATCATAATCTCAAAATCACCTTTTCCACCTAGTCCTATAATACTAGATACGCCATATGCAAAGTATTTATGGTTTTGGGGTTATGATGATTTATATAGGAGCTAAGGGTATTTTATATTGGGAAAAAATCATTTTAATTTAGTAAGATAGATAGGCATTATCCAATAAGGAGTGTGACACTTTGGCATTTTCAAATTATCATTGAAAGGGTCCATGGGACTGACACTTCAAATCTAGGCATTGGAACATTGGTTATTTCGTTTATTAGTTTAAAAGTTATTAAATATTTTTTAAAATCGACAATACTTTAGTCTATATTAATAATTGTTTGAGTCAGAAATATCACATTTGTGACAATTTCTCAATAGTTTCTGTTATCCAAAATACCATAAAACTACGAAATTCAAGCGATTTAGTATATCAATACGCATTATTTCTATTGAAGCCTGCGGGTAAATCATATGCCAAGGTCACGAAAGTGACATGCAAGTTCAAGGCCAACCTACTAATTCATTTCAAAACGAATAACACGCAATTAACTTATTTATTTCATCTCTCTACGACTGTCTGACCATGTGCAGACATTGTTACAACGTATGAAACCCTCCCCATTGGGGGGGGGGGGTGGATGGCTGAATGGTTAGCGTGCGCGCGCTGTATCATAAAGTCTGTCATTGAGTCGACTGGCGTGGTTTCGAATCCCCGGTTGTACGTGACAAGGAGTAGGGTCACCTGTCCAACCTAGTGGGTTTTCTCCGGGTCCTCCGGTTTCCTCCAACTGCTAAAGACCCCTACGCGCAAGCGAATTATTGAAATAAAATTAAACCATGTGTTAGTCCATAAATGACCTGGTTTGTGTCGAGTGGACGTTAAACCCCATTTCTCTCTCTCTCCGCCTCCCCATTGGTATTGTAACGGTAAGTTCAACCTGGTAACAGTTTTCAGTTCCGAAGCGTGTATGCTTACACCCTCAGTGCCCTAGCCGGAATTGTGCAATGCGCGAGTGCAAGCAATTTTAACTAAAATCTAATTTTGTTGAAACTTGAAATGTATGTTTATAACACAAAGATCTTGGTTCCTTTCAATATTCACGCATATCAGACTGTAACTCCCAGGATTATGGCCCCGGATTGTACGAAAAATCATGTTTTTAGCTCATGGATTCTCTAAGAGGTCACAATTTTGATTCAATTTTAAAAACCATTTAAATATATCACCATTCCACCATAATGAAGTTTGAATTAAAATTTCGGGAAAATGGAAGCGAAACTGCCCGAAAAAATGGCCGATCTCTGTTCACAAATTGTGTGAAAGTATGTAATACGAAGGTTGAGGACCCTCTAGCGGTCACAATTTTTATCCGATTTTAATGAGACTTAAAATATGTCTTTACATCCCATAGATCTCAATCCCTTTCAATATTTGTGCATTTCAAACCATAACATTCTGGATTATGCGACCTGATTGTACGAAAAATCGCTTTTGTTTTTAGCTTGTTCTCTACTATTCATCTCTTGCAAAATGTGGGCTTATCTTGCCTGGCAACTGCTGGTTGTCATTAAATTTCAAAACCTTCAAAATAAATCTTATTCCATGATTTCTACCCGAAAAGCCGACGAATAGGAATTATGTAACAAACCGAGTCGAACTAATAATGAACAAGATAAGGACAACCACCATTTCTTAGAAGCTCTGAGCAAAATGATCTGGTTTCTTTATCTTTTATAGGGTGATGATTTTGTAGGAATTTTTTAAACTGTTTTTAATAGTGAATATTTAAATTATAATGATTTAATTGTAATCTTTGTAGGTGAGTCAATTAGAAGGTGTATATAGTGTACAAGAACCACATTTCTGGACTTTATGTACAGATGTTATTGTAGGTACTATTAAACTAGAAGTATCAAATAAGGCAGATGCCAAATATATACTTAGTCAAACACACAATATATTCACACAGGTAACTTCTACTTTTATTTTATTTGCTCTTCTTGTCTTTGTAATGGGGCTGTCACACATTGACGTATGCAGATGTAGAGAAATTTAGCAAACACGCTTGTGTACGTTGAATACATTATGGGTACGTTTTTAACAAGTTATGAGCAGGCTGAAATATGATGGTACAAGTTGTTGTATGCCAAACACGGCCCAAAATTTTGCATGCGTAAAATTTTCAGCGTATACCGACGTATTGCTTACACGTAAGGCGTAAGGTAGACAGGTAAGTTATGCACACTTTCACACACGTTACATTTAAGTTACTCATAAGTTGACATACATCGGCAACCAGCAGGGTAACTGAGCAGCGTACGCATAACTTATTTCTAACTTATAGGCAACATACTTTTGACGTCCTTAGAACTTACTGAACGTGTTTGAAACGTGTGTAAAGATGGGCATGTGCGTAAGTCTACAATCATGGCGGACCTTGAGAGGCTGCGATGAGGGTACCAAAATGACCTGATTGACTTGGCACTATACAAGTTGCGAGCCAATAGGATCAGGAGGAGAAGAGGTTAACGTAGAAAGAACTGGATAAGACCATGGATTGGGAGGCGACGAGAGTTTGACATGTACGATAAACTTATGGTAGAACTCCATAATGAATACCCTGCGTCATTTACAATCTTTCTCCGCATACCCCCAGACATGTTTGATGAGCTGCTAGGGAGAGTGGGTCCAAGGATAACCAAAAAACATACGTGGTACAGAGAGCCCCTTGAGCCTAGCTTGATGATTTCCCCGACTTTGCATCATCTAGCCTCTGGAACAATAATCACTTTGCCTACTGCTGTCCTCCAAAAACCGTGAAGCTCATCGTCAACCCAAAACTGACAGACAAAATTGCCACCGTTCGTTCTCAAATAGCGTAAAAATATGGTATATCAATGTTGTGGACCCTATAGAGGTCACAATTTTTATCCGATTTTGTTGGAACTTGAAATGTAAGCTTATAACTCAAAGATCTTGGTTCCTTTCGATATTTGCGCATATCGAATTGTAATTTCCTAAATTATGGCCCTTGATTGTAGGAAAAATCAGTTTCGTTTTAGCTTGTTTTCTATCCATCTCTCGAAAATGTGGGCGTATCCTTCCTGGCAGCCGCTGGTTTAGCTTGTGGTACCTCTGAAGGTCACATTTATTATTTGATTTTAAAAATCATTTGAATATATCACCGTAACACCATAACGAAGGTTGATTTCGAATTTCGTGAAAATTGGACCAAAACTACTGGACAAAATGGACCCTCTAGAGGTCACAATTTTAATCTGATTTTGATGAAACTTGAAATGCATGTTTATAACCCAAAGATCTTGGTTCCTTTCAATATTTGCGCATATCAGATCTTAACTTCCTGAATTATGGCCCTTGATAGTACAAAAAAATCGTGTTTTGAGCTTGTGGTCCCTAGAGGTCACAATTTTTATCTGATTTAAAAAAAACAAAAACGTGTGAATATATCACAGTTATACACTAATGATGGTTGAGTTCGAATTTCGTGAAAATTAGACAAAAATTGTATGCAAATAGTGTAAAAATATGGTATATATCAAGGTTATGGACCATCTAGAGCTCTCAATTTTGATCTGATTTTGATGGGACTTTATATATATGTTTTTATACGCCCACATTTTCATGTGGACGTATATTGTCGTCACCCCTGTCCGTTTGTCCACAATTTGTTTGTGGACACTCTACAGGTCACAATTCTTATCCGATTTTGACGAAACTTGAAATATAGGTTAATCTCCAAAAGATCTTGGCTGCTTTCGATATTGGCATGTATCGAATCGAAACTTCATGGATTATGGTCCCTGTTTGTACGAAAAATCACGTTTTTAGCTATAGAGGTCACAATTTTTATCCGATTTTGTTGAAACTTGAAATATTCGCGCATATCGGACTTAAAAAAATCATTTTAGTATATCACTGTTACACCCTAAGGCCATCGATCGTTCTCAAATATGGTATATCAAGGTTGTGGACCCCATAGAGGTCACAATTTTTAGCCGATTTTGTTGAAACTTAAAATGAAGTTTATAACCCAAAGATCTTGTTTCCTTTCGATATTCGCACATATCTGACTGTAGCTTCCTGAATTATGACCCCCGATTGTACGAAAAAATCACATTTTTAGCTTGTCGACCCTATAGAGGTCATAATTTTTATCCGATTTAAAAAAAACTTTCAAATATATCACCATTACACCCTAAGGATAGTTGAGTTTGAATTGCATAAATATCGGACCAAAACTGACAGACAAAATGGCCGCCCCGCGTCCTCAAATAGTGTAAAAATATGGTATATCAATGTTGTGGACCCTCTTGATATAGAGGTCACAATTTTCTTTTGATTTTGATGAAACTTGAAATGTAAGTTAATAACCCAAAGATCTCTGTTCCTTTCGATATTCGCGTATATTGGACCGTAACTTCCTGAATTATGGCCCCTGATTGTACGAAAAATCGCCTTTTTAGCTTGTGGACCCTACAGAGGTCATAGTTTTTATCCGATTTAAAAAAAACTATTATTATTTCACCGTTAAACCCTAAGGACGGCTGAGTTCGAATTTCATGAAAATCAGCCGAAAACTTACAGACAAAATGGCCGCCGTTTGTTTTCAAATAGCGTAAAAATATGGTATATCAAGGTTGTGGACCCTATAGAGGTCACAATTTTTATCCGCTTTTGTTGAAACTTGAAATATAAGTTTATAACACAAAGATCTCGGTTGCTTTCGATATTCGCGCACATCAGAACGTAACTTCCTGAATTGTGGCCTCTGATTGTACGAAAAATCGTGTTTTTAGCTTGTGGACCCAATACAGGTCATAATTTTTATCCGATTTAAAAAAACGTATTAATATATCCCCGTTACACCCTAAGGATGGCTGAGTTCGAATTTCGTAATAATTGGCTCAAAATTGACAGACAAAATGGCCGCCCCTTGTTCTCAAATAGCATAAAAATATGGTATATCAAGGTTGTGGACCCTATAGAGGTCACAATTTTTATCTGATTTTGTTGAAACTTGAAATGTAAGTTTATAACCCAAAGATCTCGGTTCCTTTCGATATTCGTGCATATCAAATTGTAACTTCCTGAATTATGGCCCCTGATTGTACGAAATATCGCGTTTTTAGCTTGTGGACCCTATAGAGGTCATAATTTTTATCTGATTTAAAAAAACGTATTATTATATCACCGTTACACTTACATCCTAAGGAAGGTTGAGTTTGAATTTTGTGAAAATGAGACCAAAATTGTCGGACAAAATGGCCGCTGTTTGTACGCAAATAGTGTAAAATATGGTAAATCAAGGTTTAGGACCCAGTATAGGTCACAATTTTAATCCGATTTTGATGAAACTTGAAATATATGTTTATAAGCCGAAGATCTTGGTTCCTTTCTATATTTGCGCATATTGAATTGTAACTTCATGAATTATGGCCCTTGATTGTAGGAAAAATCACTTTCTTTTTAGCTTGTTCTCTATCCATCTCTCGAAAATGTGGGCGTATCCTGCATGGCAGCCGCTGGTTAACTTCAGCTTCAGATTATGCCAGCATGTTGGATAATTATTTCATACGTCGGAATAAGTTGTCTAAAACGTTATAGTGTGACAGGCCCATAAGGAATGATTATTATTCAGTAATTGTCATTTAAGATGGAAAGTATCAAAAACCAATTGGTGTAGTTCATTCATACAAATATAGCAATAAGATTCAAATACATGCAATTCAAATTGTTCAAAAAAGAAGAAGCATGAGAATTTTCATGTCGGTCAGTGTTAGGCTTTTTCGAAGAGCATCACCCTAAGAAGAACAAGATAAGTAGTGGTTAGCTAGCAGTTCCTGATCCAAAAATAACATTTTTTTGGGGAAGGTCTGTCTCCCAAGTCAATATTAGATCAGTTGATAGGACACTAGATTACTAACATAACGTGTAATGTACTATACCTAAAATTTGTCAAGTATAAAATGAAGTATATATAAATTATATTTTGTAGGTTGGTGTTCGTCAGCTTTACGTACAGATCGACTATGCTCCAATGTAATAAGATGTTCATTTTAGATGCCCACATTTAAATGTGGGCATATTATGTCGTCACCATAATGTCTGTTGGTCCGCATGTAAAAACAATTGGTTCGTTAATGCGATAGGGTGCAACAGTTTTTAACACAAAAATTTAAAATTTGAATTCATGAGTAGATAATCCCTAATGTTTTTTGGTGCTTCATGCCCTCTTGTTCTAGAGTTATCCCCCCTTTTCCGAAAACCTTGTTAACACGATAGAGGCTACAATTACATTTTTTTTTTTTAAATTTGGGTAAGAAGCCTATCGGTTTTGCAGTTCCATTCCGTAGTAGGGGGGTTGGATGGCTGAATGGTTAGCGTGCACGCGCTGTATCATAAAGTCTGTCATTGAGTCGACTGGCATGGTTTCGAATCCCCGGTTGTACGTGGCAAAGAGTAGGGTCGCTTGTCCAACCTCGTGGGTTTTCTCCGGGTCCTCCGGTTTCCTCCCACTGCTAAAGACCCCTACGCGCAAGCGAATTATGTAAATAAAATTAAACCATATGTTAGTCCAGATATGACCTAGTTTGTGTCGAGTGGACGTTAAACCCCATTTCTCTCTCTCCATTCCGTAGTTATTCCCCCTCTTCCGAAAATCTTGTTAACGCGATAGAGACAACACTTTTTATACGCCCACATTTTCTTGTGGACGTTTTATGCCGTCGCCCCTGTTCGTCTGTCCGTCCACAATTTGTTTGTGGACTCTCTACAGGTCAAAATTTTTTTATGATTTTGACGAAACTTAAAATATAGGTTCCTTTCGATATTGGCATATAATCGACCATAACTTCATGGATTATGGCCCTCGATTGTATGAAAAATCATGTTTTTAGTTTGTGGACACGCTAGAGGTCATAATTTTCACACGATTTTGATGAAATTTGAAATGTGAGTTTATAACCCATAGATCTTGGTTCCTTTCGATATTCGCGCATATTGGATTTTAACTTCCTGAATTATGGTCCCTGATTATACGAAAAAACACGTTTTTAGCTTGTGGCCCCTTTAGAGGTCACAAATATTGTCTGAATTAAAAAAATAACGTTTAAATATATCACCATTACACCATAATGTTGGTTGAGTTCGAATTTCGTGAAAATTGGGACAAAATGGCTGTCCCTCGTATGCAAATAGTGTAAACATCTGGTATATCAAAGTTGTGGACCCTCTAGAGGTCACAGTTTTGATCCGATTTTGATGAAACTTGAGGTACATGTTTATAACCCAAAGATCTTGCGCATATCGGATCTTAACTTTCTGAATTATGGCCCTTGATTCTACAAAAAATCATGTTTTTAGCTTGTGGTCCCTTTCGAGGTCACAATTTTTATCCGATTTAAAAAAAAAAGAAGTGTGAATATATCACTGTTACACACTAAGATCTTGGTTCCTTTTGATAATCGCACATAACTTCCTGGATTATGGCCCCTGATTGTTCGAAAAATCACATTTTTAGCATGGGGATTCTCCAGAGGTCACAATTTTTTTTTTCAGATTTTAAAAACGTTTTTAAATATATCACCATTCCACCATAATGTAGGTTCAATTCGAATTTCGGGAAAATTGAAATTAAACTACCCAACAAAATGACCGCTCTTTGTACGCAAATTGTGTAAAAGTATGTAATTCAATGGTTGTGGACCCTCTAGAGGTCACAATTTTTATCCAATTTTGATGAAACTTGAAACATATCTATATATCCCAAAGATTTCAGTCCATTTTGATATTTGCGCATTTCAGACCATAACTTTATGGATTATTGCCCTTGCTTGTACAAAAAATCGTGTTTGTTTACGGGTAGTTCTCTATCCATCTCTTGCAAAATGTGGGTGTATCCTGCCTGGCAGCCACTGGTTAAATGCTTTTCATACGCCCACATGGAAATGTGGACGTATATTGCCGTTGCCCCTGTCCGTCGTCCACAATTTCTTGTGAATGCTCTAACTCCAAAAGTTATTATCCGATTGTTTTAAAATTGATATATGTGGTTTACATTAGTGAGATGAAGAATCCTATTTAATTTCAATAATATCTGTTATGGCCCTTGTTTCACTTTGTTGAACCTTGTGAATGTATTATGTCAAAAGTTATCACCCGATCTTTGCAAAATTTATATGTATAATTTAAATTAGTGAAATGAAGAAGCCTATTGAATTTCAACAATTTCTGTCAATTACTTCTAGAGTTATGGCCCTTGTTTCCCTTTGTTGCACCTTGGGAACGTTCTAACATCAAAAGTTATCTGTATGAAATTTACATGCATCATGTAAATTAGTAAAGAAAAGAATCCTATTGAATTTCAGCAATTTCCGTTTATTACTTCTAGAGTTATCGCCCTTGTTTCACTTTGTTACACCTTGGGAACGCTCTAACATCCAAAGTTATCTGTATGAAATTTACATGCATCATTTAAATCTTACTGAATTTCAGCATTTTCTGTTTATTACGTCTACAATTATGGTTCGTTTAACTCTATTTAAACTTGTGAACGCTCTAACGCCGAAAGTTATCATCCGATCTTTGTGAAATTTATATGCATTATTTAAATTAGTAAAACTACGAAGCCTATTGAATTTCAGCAATTTACATTAATTACTTCTAGAGTTACGGCCCTTGTTTCACTTTGTTCAACCTTGTTAATGCTGGACTGATTTATCATCCGATCTGTATGAAATTGATATGCATTATTAGTAAAACGAAAAAGCCTGTCAGATTTCAACAATTTCTGTAGACTACTTCCAGAGTTAGGCTGTGACAAGGAGTAGGGTGGCCTGTCCAACCTCGTGGGTCTTCTCCGGCTCCTCCGGTTTCCTCCCACTGCTAAAGACTCCTATGCGCAAGCGAATTATTGAAATAAAATTGTGTTAGTCCCGAAATGACCTAGTTTGTGTCGAGTGGATGTTAAACCCTCTCTCTCTCTCTCTCTCTCTCTCTCTCTCTCTCTCTCCAGAGTTGGTCCCTTATTTCAGTTTGTAGAACCTTGTGAACCCGGAAACGACAAAAATTATCTGATCTGTATGGAACTGGCTTGTAAAGACTCCCCAATTACCTACAAAGGACTAAATATGCGACAACCCTTGTCGACCGCTCGGACGATTTAGCTGCTGTGGGCATATGTTTCGTTGCCTGGCAACCTATATTATTCAATTGTATTGTGAAGCATTGGGGTCATGAGAAACAGACCCTTATCGATTTTTAGTGACAAAGTTACCCCCTTTTTTACGGAAAGAGGCCACAGTTCTAACAATTTTTTTTCATATTGGAATAGAGGAATTAAGAACCCCGTCGATATTCAGCATTCTGCTACCTTCCGTTCCAGAGCTACCCCTCTTCCCCAATACCTCGTTAACAGTTTTTAAAGTATTTCATTCAAATTTAAAGTGAAGCATTTTGATCCTGAGAGGATGTACTCCATTGATATTCAGCGCACCGCGACCCTCAATTCCATAGTTAACTTCCTCCCCTTCTCAGAAAACCTTGTTAACATGATAATGGCTTCAGTCTTTAACAGGTTTGTTTCAAATTTGGTTTAAAGTGTTGGGGTCATGAAAGGATGAATCCTATTGATGTTCAGTTTTCTGTGACATTTTGTTCTGGACTCCCCCCCCCCCCCCCTCTTCCTGAAAATCTTGGTAGCATGTAAGACACTGCAGTTTTTAACAGATTTATCGCAGTTCAAGCTTTATAATCGGAAAGGATAAACCCTGTGATTTTCAGCAATCAAAGATTTTCTGTTACAGATATATATTATTTGTCTGGAAAAGCTTGTGAACACGATAGAGATTAAATTTGGTCAACATCCAAATTTTGCATTCAGATGAACTGCTATTGAGACATATAACTGCTATGTGGGCATTTTTCCAAGCTTTATTTGCCAATCTTTTTCTGTGTATATAGTCATTATAGTATTAGTGTGTTTAAAAACATGATCTTATACTATTCTCATCTGTTTGTATAGCTGTATGTTGGACTAAGATAAAGAAGGGCTTATGATTATCAGTGAAAAAGGTCTGCACCGGTCTTATTCAACCATGTAAATATATCAAATACACTGCCTCAAATTTCCAAAAGAATCATTCATTGGTTTAGATTTATTTTAAATGAACCCAACTCATCATTTGCAACCATACAAATTTAATTTTGGAAACATTTAATTAGAATGGATAAAGCATAATGTAACTGTTTATATAAGGTTTGGCTAGGATTTACTTCTATTTTTATACGCCCAACTTTTCATGTGGACATATTATGCCGTAGCCCTTGTCCGTCCGTCCATAATTTGTTTGTGGACACTCTGCAGGTCACAATTTTTATCCGATTTTGATGAAACTTGAAATATAGGTCTTGGTTCCTTTCGATATTGGCATGTATTGGACCATAACTTCATAGATTATGGCCCCAGATTGTATGAAAAATCACGTCTTTAGCTTGTTGATACTCTAGAGATCGCAATTTTCATCGGACTTTGATGAAACTTGAATTGCATATTTATAACCCAAAGATCTTGGTTCCTTTCAATATCCGCGCATATTGGATAGTAACTTCCTGAATTATGGCCCCTGATTGTACGAAAAATCATGTTTTTTAGCTTGTGGTCCCTCTAGAGGTCACAATTATTATCCGATTTAAAAAAAAAAACGTTCGAATATATCACAGTTATACATTAATGATGGTTGCGTACGAATTTCGTGAAAATCGGACAAAAATTTACGCAAATAAGTGTAAAAATATGGTATAACAAGGTTGTGGACCCTCTAGAGGCCACAGTTTTTATCCGATCTGGATGAAACTTTAAATATATTTTTATCATAAAAATCTTGGTTCCTTTTGATAATCACACATATCCGAACGTAACTTCCTGGATTATGGCCCCTGATTGGTTGAAAAAATCGCATTTTTAGCTTGTGGTTTCTCTAGAGGTCACAATTTTTTTTTCAATTTTAAAAACCATTAAGATATATCACCATTCCACCATAATGAAGGTTGAATTGGAATTTCGGGAAAATCGAAATGAAACTGCCCGACAAAATGTCCGCTCTTCATTCACAAATTGTATATAAGTATGTAATACAAAGGTTATGGACCCTCTAGAGGTCACAATGTTTATCCAATTTTGATGAAACTTAAAACATATCTCTATATTCCAAAAATCTCAGTCCCTTTTGATATATAACTTCCTCGATTATGACCCCTGATTGTACAAAAAATCATTTTTGTTTTTAGCTTGTTCTCTATCCATGTCTTGCAAAATGTGGGCATATCCTTCCTGGTAGCCGCTGGTACTAATTTTTTTGTCTTTGCTGACTACCTTGAAACATTTACTTCAAATCTGGTATTTCTGATTTTCGAACTTTGAAAATTACGTCCAGGAAGTAAAACCAAATTGACAATTTCTTTAATATTAGTACGATTTTCATGAAATGTAAGTAGAACTCATTAATCTAACTTGCACAATATCATTGGAGAAATTAAGGGTCAAAGTTTTGAGAAAAATCGAAAAAAAAGTAGGTCAGAATGCCTTGAATTTTTTTTTTCTGTACTAGCTAAGCAATTACTGATGCGTTCACAAAATACCGTAATGTATGTTGAGTTTGAATTTCGTGAAAATCAGACCAAAATGGACGCCTCTTGTACGCAAGTAGTGTAAACATCTGGTATATAAAAGTTATAGACCCTCTAGAGGTCACACAATTTTGATCTAATTTTGATGAAACTTGAAATGTATGTTTATAACCCAGGATCTTTGTTTCTTTTGATATTGGATCATAACTTCCTGAATTATGGCCCCAGATTTTATAGAGATCAGAATTATTATCCGATTTAAAAAAACGTTTGAATATATCACCATTACACCGTAATGTATGTTCAGTAAGAATTACATGAAAATCGGACCAAAACTGACAGACAAAATGGTTGCTCCTCGTATGCAAGTAGTATAAACATCTGGAATATCAAGGTTGTGGATCCTATAGAGGTCACAATTTTGATCCGATTTTGATGAAACTTGAAATGCTTGTTTATAACCCAGTATCTTTGTTCCTTTCGATATTCACGCATATCGGATCGTAACTTCCAGAATTATGACCCTTGATTGTACGAAAAATCGTGTTTTTAGCTTGTGGTCCCTGTAGAGGTCACAATTTTTATTTGATTTAAAAAAAAACATGTGAATATATCACCGTTACACAATAACGATGGTTGAGTTCGAATTTCGTGAAAATCTGACCAAAACTAGATAAGATAAAGTGCTGGAAGTTCTCACTATAATAGTTGAAAACAAGATAATGTAAAGGGAATTTGCTGAAAATTTCAGTCAAATTCATCCACTCTGAACCAAGATTTTAGCGATTGAATTTGGAGCCTACCCTGGATCACCATTACTATAGTCGGTACGATAAAAAACATAGTCTCAATTATCCATTTTTATATGCTCACATGGAAATGTGGACGTGTATTGCCGATTGTTTTAAAATTGATATATGTGGTTTACATTAGTGAGATGAAGAATCCTCAAGAATTTCAGCAATTTCTGTTCATTATGTCTAATAGTAAGTGCAGGGGATCTGCATCACACAAAATATACACAAAAACAAATACACGGACAAGACATCATACTCAAGAAAACACAAACAGACAATTAAAAAAAAGTGAACTGATCCGAGGGCCAGCCGTAAGCGTCCACTGCGCTGTACAGTCCCGGCCGTGTCTGTAGTGACACAGACTTCACTCAAATTTGAAAACAATTGGGAATAAAACCCAAATAAACCATTGTGCAATGCCAGCATGAGTCATGATCCGCTATATGCTACACGGAACACGAATTCAAGCATATGTAGTAAAATTCGACTATACAAGTAACCATATCGGTGAAATGTATAAAAAAGTAGTCTTAACCTAAATGCTCTAAAATCAATCAAGAAACGTTTCAGTATTCAATACATATAGGGCACATGTTCCATCCGTCATAAAAACAAAAATGAATACAAAGAAGCAAATAGGAAATGTAGACTCTCTCGAGACAGCTGTCTGCTAACTGAGTGGCAACATTATTTTGGGAATGACGTCATATCTTAAAAGGTGATAAAAAATCACAATAATAAGGGAGATAATCCAGATATGGCCCATGTTTCATTTTTTTTAACCTTGTAAACGCTATTACGCCAAAAGTTATCATCCGATCTTTGTGAAATTTATATGTGTTATTTAAATTAATGAAACAGAATCCTATTGAATTTCAGCAATTTCTGTTTATTAGGTCTAGAGTTATGCCCCTTGTTTCACTTTATTGAAAATTGTGAACGCTCTTAACGCCAAAAGGTATCATCTGATCTTTCTGAAATTTATAGGCATTATTTAAATTAGTGAAACGAAGAAGCCTATTGAATTTCAGCAATTTCCGTTTATTACATCTAGAGTTATGGCCCTTGTTTCACTTTAATGAACTTGAATTCTATTTTGGTTGAAATCGAAGTGTAACTTCACTTAAAATTTATCACTCCCATTCAATATAAGAGTAGACTGGATAAAATTTCCCTCATATCCCACTGTGTAGCGTATGTCCGTCTTCATTAGAACAGTCGGACCAGTGTTCAAAACAAACAGTTTCCAAGCACAGGCCCGCAGGACCTGTTTGACATGTGATCATGTAGGTCCTTCAGGTGACACGCAGGCCCAACCAATAATAATATTTATAGTTTCCAAGCGAAGTGCAGAACGATCAGAGGAAAGGAAGTACATATAAAGCGGCTGCGCATGCGTAAGTATTGAATTGTCATCATCAATTGACATGCCAGTACGTCACAGAAGGGCTATGGGGTTAGTAACTTGCGAAAGAAAAAAAAAAAAGACGACAATCAAATTCGTGTGTCATTTCAATTTAATGGAAACAAATCTATTCATGGCTACATAATTTAGGGTTTTTCTTATTAAACTACGTGGCAATAACATTGACGATTGCTGCGATGGTGTTGGCATAAACTTGCTTGTCCCGCCCTAGATTGTTAGCACAATAGCCCAGAATTGGGTCTAATGAGGTGCCGTAGGAAATGGTTTTAAAATGATAAGCTTACATTACCTTTAATATACCAGACTTCAACAAAAATAATTCTTTGTAATTGTACCCTGCCGTCCCCCGCCTTTCGAAGAAAGCAGGGGACTATTAAAATGGGTCTGTCTGTCCGTCACTCTTTTTGGGACACAATAACTCTCTAATTCAGCTAGAATGTTCAAACTTGGTGTAGGTATTTATTAGGTCAATGCCTTGATCAAGTTCAAAGATGAGCATTTTCTGCTTAGGGTAAGCCGAGATAAGCAATTTGATTGGTTGATGCTTTGGGACATGATAACTTGAGTTCTAATTAAGTGGGAGTGATGGAACTTGGTGTATAGTTTTATCACATCAATACCTTGACTAAGTTCCATAATAAGCATTTTCTGCGATAAGCAATTTGATTGGTCGAGACTTTGGAGCACAATAACTCTCCTTCTAGTTGAGGTAGAATGTTCAAACTTGGTGTAGGCTTTCATTAGGTGAATGCCTTAATGGAGTCTGATGATAAACATTGTCTGTATACGGTAATCAGAGATAAGCAATCTGATTGGTTGATGCTTTAGAGCCAATAACTTTTGTTTTAATTAAGTGAGAGTGATGAAACTCTGAGTATAGATTCATTATATCATTACCTTGACTAAGTTTGATGATGAGAATTTTCAGCTTAGGCTAAGGATCGATAATCAATTTGATTGGTCAAGACTTTGGAACATAACAACTCTGCTTTTAATTGAGGTAGAATGTTTAAACTTGATGTTGATGTTCATTAGGTGAATGTCTTAACTGAGTTCAATAATTAAGATTTCGAGCTAAAGCTAAACAGAGCTAAGCAATTTTATTGGTTGATGCTTTGGGACCAGATAACTTTGATTCTATCTGATAGA